CATATTGTTGCAAAAGGTACTACTTCCTTCTTCTTTATAGCTGAATAATACTCCATTGTGTAAATGTACCAAAGTTTCTTAATCCAGTCATCTACCAGTCTTTCTTAAAAAATGGGTCAACAGCTTTTCTCTTGGTTTCCTCTTGCCACCTTTCATAAGGCGCTTATTCTTGCCGACTGCCATGATGCTGCTCAGAGAGCCAAAGGGGCTGTATAGTAATCTTGAGAGACAGCTCCATCTGTGAAATACTAAAACTTAACATCCAATCACTATTTCATAGAAAAGCTCTTCAAATGACTAAGCATTAACTTCCATTTAGTAAAATAATCTTTACTATCTGACTACACTTTAGAAGAGGGCACTGGGACCTACCATAAAAATTTTAAGCAGCTGAACAGGCAATGCGTCTGCCAAATTTTCAACAAAAAAATACAATATCATCTTTCAAAATTGACTCCTTGGAAGAAAAATCTAAGATTACTACACTAAGAATATTTAAAACTCCTCTTTGTTAAGTGCTTTCAAAAGGCAGATCATGAGCTACACATACTCTTTCCTCCTCTAACACACACACACACACACACACACACACACACACACACACACACAATTTCTAACTAAAATCGTTACTACTGTCAACGCCCTTTAGCCAAAGACCACCAAGAACACACTTGCAGTTGAACAAGGAGGGTTTATTACTTGTTGCACTGAGGGAGAACACCTACTATGGGGAACCGTGGGGTGTCTCAATAAGTGGGTATTAGAAAGAACCAACATAGGATTTGGGCTTTAGTTGCGTCATAGGGAGCCATTTAAGGAAGTAGAGGTCTGCTTTCACTCAGATGCTGTCAGAAAGCAGGGGTAGTTCTAAGATTGTCTCATTAAATCTTATCTTTGGGTGATGGGGGAGACTAGAATGAGGATAAAGTTATAGCTAGTAAACAATCAGCAGTCACTCATTTTGGCCAAGAGAGGGTGTTTGGGATTTTCTAAGTGGTAGAGTAGCTGTGTTTTTGTGTTTAGATAAAACTATGAAGTGGCCTTGCTTTGTCTCATTTTATCAGTCTTAGAGTAACCTAGCCTGAGGTTTGTATCCTGTGAGACTGTTTGAATAACATGGCCTAATTGTGGGTGCGAGGCCAGCTTCTGAACGTCACAGGCTGCTTTGGTTCCCCCTCATTAGCTTAAAAACCCATGATCAGACTAGGCTTCAAGAAACTTTTAGATGATCACTATTAAAATTAAATCTACCTTTAAAGAACAAAAATGCTGTATTTAAGCAAATGTCACCAGTAACTACTAACAGGAGTCCTAGACATTGAGCTCAACAAAAGTCAAACCCCTCTTGTTTTTTCTAGTATGTTTGTTTGAAACCTCCCTCAATATTTTTGTATTTTTTGACCCACATTTGAAACATATCTTAAAGTTGTGATTTTAGAAGTTTTAAATCTGATTTTCACAAAATACTTTTGAATTATTTTTCAAATCCTCTTATCAATTGGTAGTTTTGAAAATAGGAAAGACAGATCTCGGCAACATTAGTGTCTCATCTCAAAAAGAGCTCTTATCCACACAGTTATACTTCTTACCAGCTGAGAGTCTGAGGAAGGAAAAATCTTGAGTTTTGTACCATTTTCTTTGATCTCATTCATCAGTTCAGTAAGAATGTAAGACTGTGCCAAGTTCT